GTGGATCCTGCAAAGGCGGAAAAACTGCAGGAAGGAATGAGCAGGGAAAAACCCAGCTCTCTTCTGACAAGGACTGGAAAGTCCTGTTTGGAACAAACTGGACAAGGAGATGGTCCTGAGAAAATCTGAGCACTGGAGCAAGGGGAGGGGCGGCAGTCAAGCCCCAAGGGTGCTGGGGGAGTTTCTGTTTCAACCCCTCTGGATTTGGCTTCTTAAATTACAGCCTGTGCAGATCAATGTGTGAGCAGCTAAAGGGAGACTTTGGGCCCTGATGTTAACTCTTCGGAGAGCTGTCTGAAGGGACAGGGAGGAGAGAGGTGCCAGAGCTGTGATAGGCACTTGCTGGAGACGAGGAGAGGCTGGGGAGCAACCATCCTTGCAGCATGTTCCATCCAGCTGGCGTGAGAGGACAAGACTTCCCTGCTCCCTTCTGCCCTGGGATCCCACGCAGCTGTCGCTCTCCAGCAAAGCGCCGTACTTGGAGAACAGCAATGCTGGAAAAGCCCTTCCTCCACCCATGTGAAGTGAGAGCGGGTTTTCGTCCAAGGAGAGGGTCCTCCCTGCCACCCCTGCATTCTTTCTTCTAGGAACAACCAGATGCTTAATTATTTTCACAGCTCAGCTTTTGTAGAAAAATGATCTGTGCTGGGCCACTGCCTGGCCCAGAGTCCACCATCACTGAAGATTTTCTGTTAAAACAATGCTTGTCCTCCTCCTCCTTGGAGACTGTGCTGCCTTTCCTCAGGTTTTGTTGCTGGTTCTACCTTTCCCTTTCCTTACTCGGCCGTCTCTCTCATCCAAATCTGAACCCTGAAGCTGTGGGGCAAAGCTAGCAGCAGTGGGGCTCCCACTTTTGGGGATAGATGAAGGGTCCTGCTGACCTCACTGCTTTTGGGTGTGCACTGCTGCAGGGTGCGTGGCTGGTAAGAACTGTCTATTGGCCCCTATCTGGCCCTATAGTTCCTCTTGATGTGTAAAATGCTGAGTCAGCAAGGAGCCCCTTCCTCATATCAAAAGGCTGAAGGATGATGATGAGGACAGCAAGAGTTAAGGCCTCCAAGTTAGGATCGTGGCTCCTCATGATGTTCAAGCCCATCAGCAGGCAGGCGGGCAGGCAGGCTCCCCGTCCCACCTCTCTGTGCTGAGGGAGCTGGGACACCCACACCTACACATCGAAAAGCTCACACAGCTCAAGTTGCGTGAGAGGAGCTGCACCACAGCCTGAGAGCAGCAGAGCAAGCAGGAGAGGAGGGCAGTGAAAGTTGTTGCTTGCAACTGCAAAGGTCAGGCCAGTTCAGAGCCAGTGGGAGGATGCACCCTCCCCTATGTGTCCCTGGGTGCAGAGTCGCATTTTGCCCTTGCTTGTAACACTTTCTGAAGCTGCAGTGAATGGAAGAGAAGGGTTCCCAATTTACTGGAGGAAAATCAAGCCCTGGGCTCTGTTCTCCACCATCGTCTGCATTTTGTCAGTCTCTACCATCAGGCTCTAGAGAAGGCCAGGGCTGATGCTGATGAGCAGAATGGCAGGAGAGATGGGACAGAAGGTGGCCCCTGGGTTGTGGTTGGAGTGAGGAAGGCCTGCAGGGAGCTGGAGCATGAGGAGGAAGAGGAAGGTGTGGGAGGAAAGAGGGAGTTCAGCTCTTTGTGAGCAATACAAGGAAGTGTGGGAATATCCCTGCAGGATTATCAACAAGAATGTTAAGAATGGGCAGCAGGGAAAGGCTGGAAACGAAAATGCAATCTCATGCTGTGACATGTCATGATGGGTGAATGAGTTCATGGTGACATGTGGAAAGGTGCTTACCTTGGAAGGGAGAAAATAGCAGGCAGAGGTGGATACAGGTGCTGAGGGCAGGAAAAGCAGGGGATAGATTCCACAAAAGCATTAGGAAAAGCTTTTTCACTGTATGGGTGACGGAGCACTGGCACAGGCTGCCCAGAGAGGTTGTGGCGTCTCCTTCTATGGAGACATTTAAAACCCACCTGGATGCATTTCTGTGTGACTTACTCTGGGTGACCCTGCCCTGGCAGGGATGGTGAGCTAGATGATCTTTCAAGGTCCCTTCCAACACCTAACATTCTGTGATTTTGTGACCCTGTGATTCTGTGATCCTGTGATTCTGCGATTCTGGGACACAGGCATGGCAGGAGCTAAGGAAAGGAGGGAGGCTAATGGAGAGAGGGAAATAAAACTGAACTTCACAGGACCTTGATCTGCAGCAGCATGGCTGCTGTTGAAACTTGCTGAGCCGCCCTGGACAGGTGACAAAGGTGCTGGGAGAGAATTTTGAACCCTCGGCCAGCACAGGGAAGCACTGGCAGGAGGCCAAGCAAGTGCAAGCTAGCGTGCCCTGCTAATAGCTGAGGCAGCTGACTAAGGAAAAAGTGATGCTGGCAGAGCAAATGCGTAAAGAGTTCTTGTTCTGAGTCCTGCAAATGGGACCATCTTGTTCCCAGTCCTGCAAATGCAGCATGGGTGCCAAGAAGGCAGCATGAAGATGTTTCTAAAGGTATAGATGCGGAAAAGCCAGAGACAGGGTGGACATGCATCAGTTAAGGGTGGGTGTTCAAAACCAGGGGTGCAGAGAGTGACCTGCAGTGGACAATCTCACCGTATCATCAAGTGAACAGGCAAAACTCTGCACCGCACAGCCCCACGTTAGCAATGCACAAACACACAATGTGCCCCAGCCTGTTTTGCTAACAAACACATTAATCTCCTTCCCACTTGCTTTACCTGCAGTTCCTTCACATGCGATACTTGGCTATTTTTGCATGGCTGGTTGAGGCAAACAGTAGCATAACCGGCGTGCTGTACCTGCGCAATGATTTATTTAGCTGCAAAACTTCCTTGTTTAATTAAGCTCTTGCTTAATTTAATAAATCATTACAGAATTCTTGCAAGTTTATAGCAGCACCTTCCTAAAATACTGTTTGTCTAAATGTTGCAATGGGCAGCAGAGAGCATACCCCTGCCTCTGAAACTACTCTACCAACCTAGTAGCCTGGTACTACTGATAACTGCGCTTTCCTCCCTCGTTCTGGCCTTCGAATAAGAAGTATTTGCATTCAGATGGTATCTAATTAAATATTTGCATACCGGGTCCAGCAGAGCACTTGCAGAACACTAGTATCTATAGCTGGAGAATGCCTCCGCAGGGAGTCCACAGAATTTCCAGCTTGTGTTTCTCAAAGGTGAAGCTTAGGTGTAGCTAATGAGACGGACATTGCCTTTTCTATTTCCAGCTGTGGCAACATCACGTTCAGCCAAAAAAAGTCTGAAAGTCACTCAGGATTCTTTGCTGGCAAAAAACCTGTAGCAGCAGGTGGATAACCCCCGCCTAGCCTCCATCCCCAGCTCTGAATTTAGCAGTCCTTCAGAGTGCAGGGTGAGTCCCCAGAAAGAAGGGTATGGCAGACTCTCACCTGGCCCCACACCTGAAAAACTTTGCAATGCAGGCAAGGCCCCGTATGCCAGAAGGAAGTTTCAGTGCGTACACCTGAGCTATGCTCATGCAATGAGAGTGGAAGGGAAATAAAAATGACTCAGGATGACAATTTTATATAATCCTTTCCACAATGACCTTTGGCTCCCATGCAAATTAGGAAGCACCCAGCTAGCCTTGGTGCTCTTCCTCATACCAGAGAGCCCTCCTTAGAGCAGGCCGTGTGTCAGGAGCCCCCTGGGAAGAACAGGGCAGAAAAGGGAATGGGTGCCCCTGCACACCCTGGAGCCATGGCTGGAACTGGCGGCCGGAGCCGGGCCAGCTGCCAGCAGCACATTCTGCTGGCCAACGCTCTTGGCAGAGCTCGGTCCTGCGTCAGCAGCTCTGCACCCCATCCCTGTCCAGGGGGTTAAGGCACAGAAGGAACACGGCACGGGCACCCCTCACACCCCCCATCATTTACGTGGTCGCACCATGGCTAAGAACTGCAGCCAGAAGTACCCCTGTGCTGAGACACCCTGCCAACAGGTCGTCAGGGGGAGGTGAGGATTTGAACAAAGTGATTCCATCTGCTTCAGTGCCGGAGAGGAATACAAAAACTGAAGCGGGTTAAACCCACATCCTCCACTGCTGTGAATTGGACAAAGAGCTGCAGCTCCCGCAGCGGGGAGGTGGGGGAGGCCCCGTGGCTGAATTTCAGGGGTGGAAGGCGGCAGCACGTGTTCCCAGGCGTGTGCTCCCTCCTCCTGCGGAAATCCCCTTTGGAAAATCCAGAGGTGTCCCGAGTTCAAACCGGAACTGGGCCGGGTGATGAATGTGAGGGCGAGTGGGTGCGGGGCAGTGCTGTGAACCTCCCGCGCTCCCCAGCAAGTCCCGGCAAGAGCTGCCCACTGTTGGGGCTGAAAGAGAAGGTGCCACGAGGGTGGGCAGGCGGGGGCTGCCATGGACAGCCTCAAAACCCCTCTGCAGGGGCTGGGCAGCCCAACGCTTGGATGACAGAGGTGGAAACCCGGCCCCCACCAACCCACGTGCCGCAACGGGTGCAGGAAACGACACCTACGTCTGCTTCCAAAATTAGATAGAGCAGAAGGGCCAAGACCTGCTTCAATGTCTTACCGCTGAACTACCCCAAACCCCTGGGGGCTGTGACCTATTGGTGTACTAGGTGTTACATGCTGCTTAAAAAGCAAACCAGGTAGATTCCTACCTATCTCCAGACAAGGAGGTGGGCAATGAACCACTGAACAGACCAGGTACAGTAATTTGACTTTTTTTAATAAATACGTATCTCACATGTACCAAAATAATTATAGACAAAAAAAAAATGTACAGTATTTACACAATATACAATTGCTAAAAAGTGTAGCAATTACGGCACACATGGTGTGAAGCACACAGTTTCCAATGCCCACAGTTAACATTATTTCTACTTTCTCCTAGCAGCCAGGAGGTCACCGGTCCCTTGGTTTGACGACTCCGCCTGGGATGCCCACTGAGAGCAGCTGAGCCAGGGAGCGCCACCAGCCCAACACAACACACAGTCTCCATGAAGACGGGGTGCTGGTATGAGCCTTCCTTGCCACGAGAAGACACGTGTTCCTCGTGGTACTTAAAGCCACAAGAGAGCTCTCTGTAACTAGCAGGCTGGACACGTGGTCTGTTCGCAGGGTTGAGAAGACTGGCTATGTAGCTCTTTATCAGGTGTTGTGAATAGTCACAGATCTCTACTGACATTACACATCCCGCTCCTGTATTTAAACACAGGCTAGAACCTGGAACCATCCAGTTTAAACTACGTGCTCCTTGCCGGGCAGTGTAGTATTTCCCTCCTGGTTTTTCCCTCCACATTGCAACTTTCTTTTTAAATGAAGAAAGTCAGTCCTTTTCTACACATCTGTACACAGTCACTTCTTTTCACAGAAGGCTCGACTTTAAAACGCCAGCTGCCGTCCTCCAATAAGGCAGTCATCATACATAAGCTGCAAGAAAAAACAAAAGGGTGTTAATGGAAAACTCTTACTGGGAGTTATCATATCCACTCTGGGATAACTGCCAAATTCTGCATGCCCTGACTTCAGCAGCGTATACAATTTCAGCGCTGAAATGGTTTACGTTTGCCATTTAACAGCACCGAGAACGTTACAAAAACAAACGCTGGGGAGGAGAAAACCACCCATTAACTTGAATCTCATCTCATGAGGTTCTGTAGGTATCAACAACAGAATGGTGTTCACAGAACCATGCTGTGTGAAGTTCACCTCTTTTTCCTCACGTTATTTTTTACGATTTATTCTATTTATATGCTTGTCCCAACTGCCACTTTGTTTAATGGCATAACCTTACTTTATGGGCTATTTATACCCATCTGCTAGATAGGTAAGAAGCCACTGAAGCATATCAGAGTGGCACCACCAAAAAAAAAAAGCCTACAAAGGGCAAGATTTTCCCCTTCTCTTGAAAAGGTGCAAATAACTACTTACTTCATCCTCTGTGAATTCAGGCTCCGATTCACTGCTCTCCTCATCCTCACTTTCTGGCAACATCTGCAGGTCGGCTGTGGTCAGCTGCCTCAGCTGTTCCTGGATGCTGGAGTTGTCTCTTCCCCACGTGAGCTGATAGGGTGAGTAGCCTTGGTAGGTCACTTTGTTCACATCCGCCCCATGTTTCACCAGAAGCGACACCAGGTCTGAGTTCTGTAGGTCGACAGCCAAATGTAGTGCCGTTCTGCCATTGCACGGCTCCTGCATGAAAATAACACAAGGTTTGGCATGTTAGGAGAGCCAGAGCGGGTTCCAGACCTGTTGATTCTTAGGACTACACAGCCCTGCTCAGTTAAATTCACAGTATATGTTACATACCTGAGCATTTACATCTGCTCCCAAGGACAGCAAGTATTCAACAATAGCCAGATATCCCTGAATAGATGCCAAATGGAGACATGTATGTCCTGCAAAACACAAATGAGGGGAAAATTTGAGTAAGTCTAACCTAATGGCCTATCATTCAGTTAAAAACAAGATGACAGAATGACATCTAAGTTTGCATTTGCAATTTATGCATGAAAAAAGGGTGTTTCCCAGAAGAGCTTTCCAGCCTTCCAGTTAAGTTGGAATAACAGGGTTGGATTTCTTAGAGGCTTTATTCTATTGTTTGACTATAACTTACTGCAACCAGAAAAAAAAAAAAAGAGCACTGCAAAAGCACTCATTAAAAATGTAAAATTTAAAGCCATGAGAGCCAACAATCAAGAGTAAGGAGGCCTAAAAGACAGTGACATTTTAAAGTTGGCCACTGTTGTGTGCTTTGGGCTTCTCAGCTCTCAAATGGGTGCAAAGAGCCTTCTCTGCCTCTCCAGAGATCTTTTGAGCTCTACAGGACTCCAGCCCTGCCCTCAGCAGCGCACACCGACATCAATGCACAGCAGCTTGCCCATACCGTTGTAGTTGGTCGCCTGCAGGACAGCGAGGAGGTGGTGTGGCTGGCAGTGCTGCGTGAGGACACTGACGCTCCTCAGGGATCCCTGCTGGCAGGCAATGTGCAGGGGGGTGTTTCCTCGAAAGTCTCTGATTTCCAGGTCGCATCCAGCCTTCAGAAGATGCTCAGCAATTTCAGGCTGATCGGTGATCACTGCCAGGTGAAGAGGAGTCTGCAGGCAAAAGAGAAAATGCAGACCTGTAAGTTACACCACAAATTTGGCAGCAACACTTGAACAAATAGACCCCTCGAATGCTTGGTGACTTGTGTTTCCGATTAAAAACACAGCCCATAAACTCAGTTCTTCATGCTTTCCAATGCATTGTACAGTTGCCCTTTAGTCTGGAAGAGATAATGGGCTCTCCAGATGCTGAACAGTCAATCCATATGAAGGGTATCATTAACATCCCAATAAAGAGGGATGCAATCCATTGCATCATATTTGAAAAATGCGGGTGTTAAATGCCACTCTCAGGGGAGAGGACGCGTTGCACTAACACTGGCTGGAGCCAGCTGGGGACTTTCCTGAATGTAGGCTTTGATTTCATTGATTCCATCACTTGGAAAAAAACCCAAACAAACCAACCTAAAAAGGGCTTGGGGGGGGAGGGGAGGGGAATTCCCTAGAGT